AAATATTTAAATTATTTCCATGCACATTTACTTCACTAAAACGTATACCAAATTCCTACAAACATAAAATTCACAAAATAACTATCATTTATTAAAATATAATTAAATTCAAAACACTACTTAAATAAACTAAGCACATACATTAAATTAATAAAAATTAGCTTACAATCCTAATTATTTTAAACTAAATCATTGCTAATAACAATTTTCCCAATAATACCAATTACTTTACTTCCACCTTACATTTAGAACAATGCACAAAAATAATATCCTCAAATAATTAAAATACTAACTTGCCTAATCTTCTTCAGAATCTTGCTTACATGGTGGATACACTTTATTATGGATTCAATAAATTATTGGACGATTTTTCTGCGAACCTACACTCATGCCCACACAATTCAAAAATTCTTTGAATTATCACACAAACGCATTAAAAATCTAGAATTCACTTAGACAGCGCCATACAATCCCAAAATTATTTAACCCTACTTCACACAACACACAAGAAGCTTAATACAAAATAATATACAGCCACAGATATTTTTCCAAATTCCCCCCTTTTCCGATTAAAGAACCGTAATTCGTCCATTAATATCACATGACATATCCCATGATCTCTCATTTCCCTCACACAAAATAATGCGTAATCGGAACTGAGTACTGCTCACATTATTACCAAAGTACCTTTATCACCTCCAAAATGTCGCCAAACTACTAGTTACCATATTCTAAAGATCAGCCCCTAATTTCTTTGGCATAACAGCAGAAAATAGAGAAAGAATTAGATTCCAAGGAACCTAAGTTCAGTTAACACAGCAAACTGCATTCTTCCCTTAACTTTTTTTATTTATAATTCATAATTTATAGCTGGCCATCAAATTTCATAGTGATGATAATGATAAATGTGATCCTAAAATAAAATAATAAAAAAAATGTGAGGCTAATCTTTGGAATATGGTAACATGGATGGATAAAGTCAAGATGTGCCATAATTCTGCGATGTTTTTGCAATTCCATTTTTTTTTTTTGCATGATTTTTTTGTTCCATAGTTTTAAGCATAATTCGTATAGCAGATTGTTGGAAAAAAATTTTAAGTTAAAAAAAAACATGCCTTTACTTCGTGAAAACAAAATGGCATCCAAAAAAAAACTAGCAGGTTGCTGTAGCAGGCTTGGTCACCAAAAAATCGCTAAGTTACCATAATCCGAAGATTAACCACATGGGATTCGAAGAAAAACTGAAATTTTCCGATTAAGAAGATATTCAGAAAAAATGCTAAATAAAGATGATATAACTTAGGTCTTATACTGCAATAACAATGTCTCGGTTATCAATCAACTAACAGAACACCAAATATCTATACAATCAAAAGTCGTTAATCCGGACTCGTCGGGACTTCGGCGATTCTGGATTATCGATTTTTCCGGATTATAGATCATCAGTTTAAATCTGGTAAGATGCCATGCAGAAATTATAAAATTAAAAATATGAAACTGTAATTTATGAAATAAAGAACAATTATGATCTAAAGGATATCAAAACTTACAAAAAAAAAAGCTTAATATTTATTTGTTTACTTTATTAAACATTTCTTTCAATGTAAGTTCTTTAAATTGTTTTTTATGTGATAATACTTTCTCTTTAATTCTATAAACAGACATAATTTCTTTTTCAGTTACAAAGTTCCGCTGTTCAAGTCCTATAATTGCTGTGTCGAGAGTACCGACTAATTTGTCAATCGAAATTTTTTCGTTCTCAATAACCTCAGTGTCACTTTCTTCGCTATCGGAAGCGAATTATAATGACGAGGAATTTGATTTAAATCATATCAAAGGCAGAGTACATCGAGATGAAATACTGCATTTAGTAAGGAATTATAAGCCAAATAAAATAAAAAATCCGCCCTGAAGATAAGGATAGTGCCGACAGATCAACTTCCAATTCATTGCACACTGCGGCGTTAAAGATAAACAAACGTTAAAGTTTAGATAAACAAAGGATATGCCTTTATCAATTTTTTTCAGCAATTCGACTTTTTGTTTAATGGACTTTGAAACATACTTTTGCTTTGTAGATCCTTTACATATTAGTATATATATCAGAAATTCTATTTAACATAATCGAAAGTTCAAGCTTACTTTTATAAAATTGCTCTAACAGTCTTCAAAAAATAATAAAATTTGAATATTTAGCAACAACGCATTCTGCAACATTAACTGAATTAGATAATTTTAGCTTAGCTTATACCGTCCATTATACATTAAACACGCATTCGTAAATGTATTTTGCGCACACACATATTCGCAGCCGTAAAGGTCTTACGTGAATGCGTCAATGCGACGCATGCACAGAAAGTTTGTAGCTTTGAGGTCCGGATTATGGGTGTCCGAATTAACGACTTTTGACTGTATATGGTTTTAAATTCTTGAAAATATCACCATTTCAGCTTCAAGTTACTTTTAATTCCTTTTGGCGATAATTAAGAAAAAAGCCTTTTTTAGGCAAAATAAATTTTCATTTAATATAAAATAAATAAATAAATATTTCTTAAAGAAATATTAATGCCGAATATTTTTTCATAATTTCTATATATCATCTTACCAGATTTAAATTCATAACCTAAAATTCAAAAATTTCCAAAATCTGGAATCAGTGGAACTCTGGTGATTTTGGATCTGACTTTATACTGTACATATGCATATTTATAGCTATTTCTATTTTAATAATCATAATTTTATAGTAATGTCATGTTATTAGAACAAGATTACGAACAATACAACACAAATTAGGAAAATTCTTATAATATATTTAAAAACTGTATACACATTAATATAATAAATTCTTAAAATATGCTTTAATACAGATATAATCTTCCCAGAAAACACCACAAGTATAAAGTAAAACAAATTAAATGGTTGATCTTTACAATATGGTAACTGGTAGTTTGGCGACATTTTGAAGGCGATAAAGGTTACTACCTGGGACTTTGGTAATAATGTGAGCAGTACTCAGTTCCGATTACGCATTATTTTGCGTGAGGGAAATGAGAGATCATGGGATATGTCATGGGATATTAATGGACGAATTACGGTTCTTTAATCGGAAAAGGGGGGAAATCGAGAAAAAATGTGGAAGTTTTGTATTTAGCTTTATTCTGTGTTGTGTGAAACAGTGTTGTGTAATTTTTGGATCTCATGGCCCTAAGTAAAGTGAATTCGAAATGGGTATTTAGGCATTGTGATAAAGAGAAGTTTGTTTTTTATTTAGCGGAGGAAGTATGGAGGAAAATTCGCAGAAAACATCTTTCAATATTTATTGAATGAATTATAAAAGTGTATCTGCCACGTAATCAAGATTCTGAGAAGATTAGGCAAGTTAGTATTTTTAATTATTTGAGGATATTATTTTTTGCTTGTTCTAAATGTAAGGTGGAAAGGAATTGGTATTATTGGGAAAATTATTATTAGCAATGATTTAGTTTAAGTAATTAGGATTATAAGGTAATTTTTATTAATTAATGTATGTGCTCATTTATATTTTAATATTTTTTTGAATTTAATTATATTTAATGAATGATAGTTATTTTGTGAATTTTATGTTTGTAGGAATTTGGTATACGTTTAATTGAAATAAACGTGCATGCAAATAATTTAAATATTTGATACTAATACTTGTAATACTTGCGGTATGAATTCGTTGGTGACGTGTATAATGTAATAGATGATTTAGAGTAAAAGTTTTTGGATATTTTATTTAATTTATATGGGAAATTTCATATTTGTAAAGGTAAATACTTTTTCGCGATCAGGTAGTTTTCATATATGTTCTTTTTACCGGGTTTAAAGATTGAGAAAATTGTCATGTATTTTCGTGAAATTTTTCTAATTTATGAGAAAAAAGCAGTGTACATGAATATAGTGAAGAGTGTGCGCAATGCCATTTTTGTGCAATTCTGGGATTTTTTTTAAGTAAAATAAGTCGGCGTGTACATGGTTTATGTGTATGTTTATGTTGAAAAACGCGTAGGAGTATGGTATTGTGCACTTTTTCCCCAATTTTGCAGTGAATATTTGTCATGATTAAGCAGTTTTGTTTGATAAAAATTTCTAGCATAAGTTGTAATTCGGCTAGTAGATTGTTGGAAGAAGTGTTCAGTAGATAAAAGAAAAGAAACATGTCTTTACTTCGTGAAGACAAAATGGCAGCGGGGAAAAAAAAATAGAGGGTTGCTGTAGGAGAGTTGGTAGACAAATTTTCGCCAAAAAATCACCAAGTTACCATAATGTAAAGATCAACCTATTAAATAATTGCATGTGTTTAATTACTATCTGAATTCATCTAATTTAGACAACAGGACATTTGTTTTATGTAATATTTCAGATGCTAAATTAATATTACGTGTGAACAAATAATCCCAATCATCCAGTGCCAGAATATGTTGAGGATTTGAACAAATAAAATCTATTAAATACTTTTTCAGGTTATCATCTGAACTATTAGCTGTTAAGCGCAATATTGAGGAAAAAGGTAACAGCATTCTTAAGTGACACTATCTCATACTTATTGGCAATGCTATATATTTTAATAGCATTTACATAATCTAATTCTTTCACTATCCCTGTATATATATATACCAAAATGATGTTTAAAATGGCTGGTTCTATATCAGTAATTTCAATTACATTACTACTGTTATCAGACACAGATTCGGTAAATATTCTTGAGAATACCAATGATCTCGCAGATAAAACTGCTCTGTGTACTGGATATCTAACTTCCCCAGCTCTGAGAATGCAATCTGAAAACTTAGGCAAAAATATATTATAAAGTTGCTTTAAATCTTGGCTGTAACAAAAGAGGTCAGTCATATTGCAAATATCTGAATTTGAAGAACAGAGGGATCTTTCAAGAACACAGCTGTCTCCTGCAGAGACAGCTAAGTCACACTGGAGAGAGAGACACTTACATATAGCCTTTTTCTGGAAAAACGACTCACCTGGTTCCTGAATAACACATGTATAACACCATTCTTCATCGGCTAGAAAATAATGCTTTTTTGTATCAGGTAATCTATGTTTGTCACCACCTCCTACAATAGATATCATCAAATGTATCAGAACCGGATTTTCTTTGTCTGGAAAAAGACGACGGACACAAACTTCGACATTTCTTGACCCCCTTGAAACTTTCTGCACTGAAAGTATTAACTGAAATTCTGACCCAGGTATACAGCCTGAGCGGAAAGTTGGACTGTAAAATTTTTCTGCCGGTGATTTTAAATTTACAGGCCATATAAAACTCTTTCTGTCAACTTTGATGTTAGTTGTGATAGAAACTTCACTTGGAAAAACATACAACTTTTGTTTCAAGTCTACAAGGTCATATTTATCTGCTATTCTACATAAACTTGCAAGGTATTCTGCTTTATCTGTTTTTAGTTTCCCTGAGTATAAATACTGTAACAGTAATCTGAGCACAGGAGGATCGAGAGCTACTTTAACTGGTTCTGCAGACACCTTCCAGTTCTGTAAGCTAAAATCATTTAAGAATTTAGGTGCGCGAGCCCACAAAATGGCTTTATGAACATGAAATATTTCATTTCCTGCACATAATAATAAATCACTACACTGAGAAGATTGAAGTAACAGCGAAAAATCCTGAGACAAATGTTCAACATCATAAATATCATACATGATCTTCAAGGAATTTTTGTTCCCTTCTAATGGCACTTTCAGCTGATAAAAAATGCATGTAATAATAACAGTGTCATCTGATACAGTCTTCTTGGTTTCGTCTCTTTTTTCAGGAGGCCATCTGAACCTTGCTGGACGTATCAGTGTCTCTGGGCTAGTCTCAAGACTGATCTTTTCACTACTTCCTGCAGATGTTTCAGATACTTTTTTATCATCAGATACTCTTTTAAATTTCCATACTTTGCGATAACTAGTTTCAGTTTTTGAGAACTCTAGTGCTTTTCCATGTAAATCATAACCTGACAACTCACAGTCGATTGTTACATTTTCAAGTTCATCAGGAATTTTTATTTCCAGAAGCAAGCATTTTTCACTGAGTAAATCACCTTCAGGATATAAGTCTATGCAGGCAGTACCGTATGCTTTCACATTGAAATGCGAGCTACACAGCGGATTACTACGGTCAGGACGTATAAAACTAAAGTTCTTAACTATCCACTTAAACACAAATAACTTATCTAAGTCACTCATACCCAATCACATAAGTTTAAAAGGCAACTTTTGGGATTATGACCCAATCCTCCCGCCTTATGCGCATCTCAGTTTGCGCATCATGTGACCAAAGAATATGTACCAGGACTAAAGGCCCGTCTACACGTAGCGATTATCTCGGCCGACTTATCTGGCCGACAATATCTGAGATAGCTCGCCTGTTCACACGGGACGATTTTCTCGTTAGTACAGGAATTCGCTCAGCCAATCACTATAAAAGGAAGTGTTTCCGCCCTCTACAGCGTCACACTGTCTACGATTTGTAAGCAAAGCTTACGGTGTTGTCAAATAGTCAAAATAATGGATGACTATTTTAAATTGCTACTATAGATACAGCTACAATTTTGAACTTAGCTTCTGCTACATAAGGGGGGAAAAAAGGCGTTTGGACTTGAAATTGGGTCAAACGACGAGAAATTCATAGTGCCTTCGTAATTCCTTGTTCCGGGAGTTGCGTATTGAAGACAGTACAATTCGGAAAGTATTTACGGATGATGCCGCATGATTTTGATTTTTTGCTAAATTTAGTTTGCAGAAAAAAAAAAAAAAAAAAAACTTTTCTTTTCTGTACTGAGTACACAGATTACTCCTTTTTTAGTTTATTTATTTATTTTTAAATTTCCCTTCCTGGCACTCCTATTATTTGTGTATTTAAATCTTGAAATAATAAAGTAACCATGTTTCAGAAAAAATAATTAACTACTGTGCTTTAAATCAAAACCTTTATTAATGAATAAATAGACAATAATATCATGAATATCAAACCAATATGAGTAAAAAGTATTAATACAGAATAAATTTAAACAAATTAAATTTAAATTTTAACAAACACGTATAAAAGTAATAAAAGCAAATTTAAAGCCAAAATTAAAAAAAGCAAATATAAAGCCAAAAAAATTTTTTAAAAAAATTAAAAAATGCGTAAACATGTAAAAGATTTAATTCTCGAACTAATCTAAATTATCATTAAATTCAGAAGCATAAGCAAATCAAGTGCAAAACCATTCCATGAAAATAAATTCACTAATTTAGCAAATTAAAATTTATCCAAACATTTTTTTTAAAATGCATAAAGTGAATACTTTTGAGCAGGCAGGAGACAGACTTTGTTTGGATTAATTTAATTTGCTAAATTAGTGAATTTATTTTCATGGAATGGTATGCTTCTGAATTTAAATGATATTGTTAGTTCGAGATTAGTTCGAGAATTAAATCTTTTAAATCTTTTATATGTTTACACATTAAAAAAAAATTTTTTTTAATATTTTTGGCTTTATATTTGCTTTTTTAATTTTGGCTTTAAATTTGCTTTTATTACTTTTATACGTGTTTGTTAAAATTTAAATTTAATATGTTTAAATTTAAATTTCATCCTTGCAGCAATGGTGCAAAGAATTATTTAATTAAATTTGTATTTAAATTTTAATTAATTTTAAATTCAATTTTTCTTATGAAACAATAAAAATAAGATTACTACATTTCAAAGCAACAGTGTAATTTCAGTGCAAGAATTTCAAATCAGAAATATCATAAAGGTGCAAAGTTTTAAGTAGTATATTTATTGAACATTAAAAAACTAATATCAACATAATAAAATAACTAATACAGTCTGAAAACTATGATTATATGACTCTTTCAGTTAATCAGCGAATAAAATTTAGCAATATTGAATTAAATTGAGCTGTAATTTGCTTTCGCAAAATTCAATTAACACAAAACTGAGTTTGTGACTTTTGACCAGTAGATCTAAAACACGTGCCAAAGGCAATTCGAAAAATAAAAATAAATATGTTAAAATTCAATAAACACCCCACCCGTAGGCGAAAAAATAAAACGTGACTTTTAAGTCATGCAGTTCAGATTTAGTGATGGAGAAACTAAATTAAAAAGTTCTTCCAGGCACAGCAAGTCCAAAGTTAAGATAGGGGATCGAACCCACGATCTCGACGTACGGAGACAACCTAGTCTGCTCTTTATCACCACTATGATCGCTCGGTGTAGTAAGCTTCTCGGAAAAGCTATGTACTTCGTCAACTGATTAACTCTCCATTTTCGGCGAAGTCAGTCGAGTCTCTGCGCTGCTTTATTCTCGACTGGAGATTTTGCTTTTTCATTTTTTCAATTAGTGCGACCACAATTTCAAGTAGTTTTCTGAATATTTTCATCTAGTACCCATGACATGGCATCATTAATAATTTTTGGAATTTCTCTTGGGGAAGTATCATTTTCACCCGGAATTAGAAAATATTTGAATGTATAAAGTAATGGAGAAGACAAATCTTAACAAAATAAGAGAATCCCTTAATTTTTTATTTTTAAAATTTACATTACTCGTGTCCCACAAAACAACATTTTCTGAATAGAAATCTATTAGCTGAGTTTCGCTCCAACGAAATGCAGCCATGTTTATTATTCCAAATGATGAGAAAAAGCACGTGATCACTCAAAGCAATTTTATTGGCTAGAGACTCCGATTTTATTTTTCGCTAGTGTGGATTACTAGCGTCTACGGAGAGAAGGCAACTTTTGGGATCGTGATCTGATCCTCCCGTGCGCATCTCAATTTGCGCATATGCTGCCGTGCACTTCGTGAAATTTTGTTTATTTACGTGAAGTACTTTGTGGTTTTGAAATTTGCGTCATGTGTTGAGAATGGATGAAATTGTATTACATCTGTATTTGATCTACAGTGAAATACAGTTCAATTAATAAATCGGTGTTTGTTAAAAAAATTAATTTATGCTTGGAGATAAAAAAATAAAATTTTTGCTAATGAAAGTTATTAAGTAGTGCACTTTTCATTAAAAAAGTTTATTTCTTTTTATACATTAAATAATAATGAAATATTACCTATGATTGTTGTTAATTAAGCATGCCTATCTTCTGTAAATTATTGCTAAAACATGTGCAAATAATGAGGAAATATACGTTATGCTAGTTTATTTCTTAGCAGGTAATCACAGGACCATGATAGAGAGTGTCTATTATTTGTTCCTGAAATTTCTTTATTGCTTATACTAAGCTTATGCGTTAAAGTGTATTAAAAAGCTTATTTACGACACATATGAGCACATTCTGTTGCATCAGCTATGTGATAAGTTGGTGTTACAACTGGCATTTCAACTATGAATTAAATTATTGACATTTCATCATCTGTACAAGAGCAATGAAGTGCACTGTTTTTCCATATATCCTGACTGTACTGTATTTTAATTATAATCATTAAGTCGTGCATGTGAGACAAATGCATTAAATTGTTATTACAATAGTGTGAAAACAAGAAATTAAAGTCAATTTCTTTGAAAAAACTGTTACTTTTTGGAAAAAAATAAAAAAATACTTTAGACATTCATATTCATCATGTTATTCTCAATATATTTACAATGTCAAGCTAATAATAGTCCAAATAATACATAGTATTATTTGTGATAATTTATCATTTTAAAAGAGGTATATTATATGTCAAGGACAAGGTTGACAAAGAAAGTATAAGAATTCTTTCTGTAACTAAACATGATTCACTACTCAGTACTAAAATAAAGAGGTTTATCAATCCATGAATAACATGTTTTTATGTACATCATTACTTACTGGATGGTTGCTGCCAATGAATCGACTGACTATCTGTGTAACAGCTGGAGAACAAGGTGTGCTCAGAATTATCATTGATGCTCTGTGTTTTGTCTTAAAAAACATACATCAACCTGGATTTTAAAAAATTGAAATTAATAGACATGAAGGCTTAAATAGAAGTATCTAATTTTAAAATAACTGTAAGAGCCATAGCTGCAGTTTACTTAATAATTCAGATATTTGTGATTTTATCATTGAGGAGCCTTTCAATGGCTAAGGATTATGTAACATAACAGTTATAGTAGTAGACTACAGTTAGTAAATTTGCAACATTTTTATTGCTAGTTCATAGTTGAGATATTAGTTAAAGACCATTTCAGGTTGAATGTTAGCTATAACATTCTACCTGAACTGCCTACAGTACTTCGATCTTGCATGTATTTTCACTTACTGTCTCCAGAGGCAGTATTTTTTGTTTTTACATCCAGAGCTCTTTGATAGTGTTTTTTTCCACACATGACAGTTCAACACAAAATCGAAAACGGGGGACACTTCTACATAAAAGAAACATTCAGTTGTTGGATGGATAATAGTACTTTGTACAGTTTGGTGGCATTTATGTAAAAATTATGTGTTGGTTATTTTTCAATAACTTGCAACAGTGATTTTGATTATAAATTTGTTTTAGGAAATTCTAAGCTACTGGATAACAAAAATATAGATTTTAGCAAAATGTTCATGTTATGCGTAAAGAATGAAAAAACCTTAAGATATAAAAATTATTAAAAATGATAATAATTATAAAATATAAATTATAAAATGATAAGATATATATTATAAAATGTCAAAATTTCGGAAAAATATAACACTCTTTAAACCTCAGTTTCCTTACATCTAAATAGTATTAAGTGTGAAAATTTGTATAATTTATATATTTTTAATTACTTGTATAATGTATGCATTTGTGAATTCAGATCAATTAGTTGTTTTAAACTGTTTTAAAAAATGAAGCAATATTATGCAGAGTAAGGAAATCAAGATTGTGATCCGATGACAATGAGATTAATGTTTAAATGTGAAATGGAAAGTTGTTATTTATTATATTATCAGAGAATTATTAAACTGGGCATAATCGCCAAGGAAGGTATTGAATGCTACGCGAAAATATGTTTACTAAAAAATTTGAATTTCATAATGAATGTATCCAAACACATGTTTTGAGTCAAAAGTTTGAAACTTGATGGCTGAGTGTAAATATAAAATTATGGATGTTTAAATACTTTGTAATTAGGCACATAGGTCAGGTTAATCTTTTTAAATAAGGTAAGGAATGCAAGAGCTATATATGCCTAAAGGAAAATATGCCTTCATGGAGGAATTTCAAGGCAAAACTGACGTTTGAGTGCATATTAAAAAATAATACATCTAATTTTCATTCAATTTATACATATTTCATATGTAAAAAATTCTGATATATGCTACATTACTGTTAATTACTTTACTTGAAAAATATAGTAAATACACAGAAATTTAAGATTTGCACATTTCGAAAA